TCACTTTAAAAATTGGAAAATTGATTCGAGTTTAGAAAACATAGATGTTATTAATTTTTGCAAATTTTTAAAAATCAATTTTTCCAATACAATAAGTTACTATGAACAAAAATTTTTCAATTTTAATTTTTGCTGCATTGATTTTGTTATCTTTTTCATTTAACTTCGGCATCGAATTTTTATTTCTTGCGATTCGAGAGAACTTTAAATTTGAATAAACAATAGATTTTAATTCCAATTTAAATTTGCCAAAATTTTTACGCGATAGACTAATTTGAAGGAATTGTATAAAACAAACATAAAAGTACAAACCACTGGAAATGAACTGTTCACTTTCTTGTATTTGAAAAAAAGAGAGATATTTCTCATTCTGAACTTTGTAATTCGTTGATATTTTTCGCGACCGATTGATATTCCCCTTAAATCCTCCTCTAGTAGTTTACACGTGAACGCAGCAATAATTTCCGCTGTAATGTCCGACGAGATCTTAAGGAAACTTTCTTCGATGGGGAAGAGAATAAAGCGCGCACAAAATGTAATTCGTATCGTAAATTTCAGCGATCGCGTACGCCGGACAAGTGTCGGTAATAGGCTCCTTTTTCCTTTCTTCTTTTTTTCGCCGCGGCCAGTTTAGCACCCGCTTTATCACGGGTCGGGTCGTTTCGTTTCGAGTGGACATTCTGCATCCGACACGTAGACGCAGGTGGACGCGCTTTATGACCAACGTTATATTATGATCAAACCTCATTGTGTGCGCTCGGATGTCCCGTGCCCGGTAGGAACGAGGGATAGCGCGTATTATATCGTACTTACAAGCGGCCTTTTCTCTCTCCCTTTGTCGACAACTATAAGTTCATTTCGTCGCCCACGTTCCATTTTGCGTCTCTTTCTCCTATAACAATTTAATTACGTAAAATCCATTACGATTGTAATCGCGTTTACGATAATTCCATCTTCCTAAATGGGAGCGCGCGAACGATCATCCGATTCAAGAGACTTATAAACTTGCGGTGAACTCGTGATAACGTAATTTACCGCGGATTACACACTTGTCCGGGTCTCTGTACGTACTTCTTTCCTCCTGATGCAACGCAAGCGTTGTCAGATATTTGGCTGATTAGTAAATTAATAACAGTTATGTCATACTATATCGTGCGGAAACCGCATGTGTGTATATATACGGCATCGATATTCAGCTATCCATTATGTAGGAAATTTACCGTTATGCATACGCTTGTGTATACCTGATCACAACACGCTAGTCGAATGTTTTTAACTAGAAGCGTGTGCAATGCGCTAGACCGTGCATATTCATAGCGTGATGAATAACGTGAATATTCAAGAATATAAAATTGGAGTGCCCTGTGCTCCACTTACGGTCATGTAAATTTGTCATTTGGGTTCATAAATTATAAGTCCCCTCTCCTCTCTTTCTCCCCTTTTCCGCACCCGCAGTTGTGCGTATCAATCTAGAATTCATCGATACATTGCCCTATAGCGGCACACATTATCGCAATTATGGAATAGCGTGCATCATCGAATCCGTTGCCAGTACTCGAGAGTCTTCAGATGCATATATATATATAACATATAGAGATTCGACAAATATATCAGCGTTTCGGCGATATCGGTCCATCGAGCTGGCAAAATTTACCCTCGTTCTCCCTCTTTTTCTCGTTTATAAATAAATGAGATTTAGATATCGAAGTGTAAAGGGAGAATCTTTTGCAGCACGCGAATCGCGCGCACGATACAACTTTGCTTTCCAGATAACATTCTCATAAGTCAAGAAGAATCCTCTTATTCTCGCCCCCGACAAGAGCGAACGATATTTCATCGGCAATTAAATCGCGCTGATAGCAGTGAGGGAAATTTGTTATCGCGAATGCGCGCGCGGTAAGTCGCGGAAAGTTTGCGACACTTACGTCTTAAGTGTAAAACGGGTGGGTGCGCGCGCGCTAGAAAGTTATTATTAGTTTCCTCGCAGGAAAGCGCGCTCTCCTGGTCCTAAAGAGAGGACGAGCGTAAAATAGCGGGAAACAATGTTATGTCGTTTGCAAAGTTGGCATCGCGCGAGCGCGCTCATAACGCGTCGTACACGCTCTCTCGAAGCGCGAGGACGAGGGAGTAAGTTGCCAAGTCCTCGATCCATCATTTGTCTCCCGTTTTGCTTTTTCTCCGAGAGAAAGAGAGGGACATTCAGAATTTACCGCATCGCGCGGGAACATTATCCTTTCGCGACGCGAGGAAAGCGCGTTATTTTTCCGCGAGCTAATGCGTATGTACGTTTAGCGGAACATTACCTTCCCTGGCGGACGTTATTTACTCGCTCCGTCCTCTCGTACGATAAACGTACCCCCTCGCGAAAGGGGATGTTCTAGATGTGGATCGCGACGTTTTGCTGTTTTGCCCGTGGAAAATTGGAAAACTTGTGACATTTCGCTGTTTTTAGACGACGACTTTCTCCGTCTATTTATCGGCGCACTTAATTCCTGCACGTAATTGCCCTATCGACGCACAGTTCGGTTCGATGGAAAAAGAGAAAGACGAGGGAGTTGACCTCTCCCTCGGGCTGGGAGGGGGATAGGTCACTTTCGCGGCGCGAAAAGCGACGATATTTTCACGTAACCATCCAATTACGCAAATGAAACTTGCTCGTTCGACGACATTGCTCATTCTCACTTTACTGTAATTACTGTTTGGTGCGCAAACGCCGCGCCATCGAGATCCACGATCGAGAACCCTACGGAGAGAAGAGAGATCCGGCTTTCAAAACATTTCAATCTTCTTCCTGTTACCACATTAACTCGTCCTGTAACGACTTAAAGCCGAGCTGCTCGAAACTACCACGCAGTATGTGTGTGTGTGTGTGTGTGTGTATGTTTACGCGCATATATAAATATATATATGTTTGCGTATATGCTACTCTATTATATTTTGTATGATATTAGAGAAAAGCTGTACTAAAACATGAGCATCGTAAACCGACACCCCGTATTCCTCAGCGATTAAGTGCCGCACTTTATCACAGTTGATATGAACTTGGTTCGTTTACTTAGTTTACTCATCAGGAGCTCGTAGCTTTCTGCATTCATATCGTTCGTTTATATGCTAAATCAACTTGTATTATTACAGTTTTTGAAGTTTGAAAGCTCTGGTCTTCTCTTACTTTAACGAAATAAATAATATTACGTTTTATTCTACACGATTGTGTAGATTTCAATTTTTTTCATTCTTGTTTTTATTATGATATTTTACCACGATTATTGTCTATAGTTTTCAATGAATATACGTTTTGCACAAACAAACAATTTTATCAAAACTGCAATACAATCCAATAAAAATACAATTTTAATCAATATCTGTGATATATATATATATATATACATATATGTATATATATATATATATATATAAATTTTTATTGATGTTAAATTTTTTAGTGCGACTAAAGTTTTAGATTTTACAGACATATTTCGAGAAAATGCGACTGAAATGCAGCGGATACATTTTCTACGACGCAGTCTATAACGCAGCTGCGCGGATAATTCAGAATGCTCCGGGCAGAGAATCGTAGCGTAGCTAAGAAAAATATGCGGATGGGTAAAAGCATGTATCAGTATAAGCATGTATAAGTGTTGTACATCGTGCGCGCGTCATGTTTTACGGTAAACCGAACCGTGTCGTATGAAGAGGGCGGGTCGAAAGACAGGGACCGAGATCGGCCTTCGCGCGCGTAAGCTTCGGTGTCTCATAAGGGTGGCAGCTACCATTCGAGCCTCAAGCACTCTCATGACTCCGTTGTGCTGGTTAGAGCCTCTCATTGCAACGCGCGTTTCTACCCTCTACCGCCGCTGTTGTTGTACACCCGTATTAGGAGATAGATTTACATGAGTAAACACGTTGAGGTCTAGGGTTCCACGTACAAATTGAGATCAGAGTTAAATCCGGGAATATAGAGGAATGATTTGAATGTATGTATTAATTAAAGAACCGTACGAGCATTTAGGATTTTTTAAATTAGAAGTTTGTCAAAAATATAATATATGTATATTTTAATCCAAAGAATTAAATAGATTTAGAACGCAATGTCTTTTTTATCTTTTTTTCTTCTCGTTCAGCTCTTATTCCTCTTTTGTCATAATACATAATAGATACTATATCGCAACTACAATTGAAATGCAGCTAAACTGAACTCGCATTATGTGTGTCAATAAAAGAGAGACAGCACATTGAACTCTGAACGAAAGTTAGGTCATCGAGAGCGGAGCTACTTGTCAAGCGTATTTACGGCGAATACTTAGGATATAAAACGAAGATCTTATTTTCATGAAAAAGCCATAAAGTTCGTCGTAGTCCGTCCGTGCTTTCAACGCCGGTCGCCGTAACATACGGGATGATGATTCCACGGGCGCAAAGTACTCACAAAGTTTATATGCCGTTGCGTTACGTTAGAAGTTATGTGCCGTGGGACCTCTTCCCCGGGGAAAATCATATTTCTACACGTCGACGCGCGTTTCACGCTGAAGACATCAAAATAATCCCTTTAAACAACGACAGGTACCATGTATCTTCCGGGGGTCGGCGTTACACTTATTCTTTCCGACTTCATAGAAGTATGTTATGTACAGAGTAAAATTTTATTTTACATCGCGGTATCCTGTTTCTTTCCCTTTCGTCCCTCCTCACATTTTTCCAGATTACGTTTCAGTCGTTCGAGAGAAGTGTCCCGCGAGTGTACGAATTTTTTTCCTACGAAGCCGAAGCGAGAAAAACTCTTATAAATTGATCACGAGTCTCGCTTATCGAGATGCAGGTCTTCAAGCTTTTTTCACGCCAAACCAAAGTAACTTTCGTATGTCACTTTTCCCTTCGACAAGTGACATCCTCATCTTGCATTATTAACCCGCCGCTTTATCTATCCCGGAAGAGGAAGAGCGTGCCATGGGACACAATTATTGATTAAGAAAAGTGATAAATCGCATTCATGCTATACTTACTCGTAGCGCTGACAGCTGGTCCGATGACCGAGTACCTGGGGTTCCCCGTAACGGCTCCTGGGACCTTGTCCGGCTCTGAAACACATTATTGTAATTATCCCTGGAATATACAGTGCCGTTAATTACAACAGGGAGCTGCGTATGCGATGGACCGCGGCCAATCTACCTTAGCACAAAGGACCCACCCGCATGATTCATCACCCCGTAAATACGTAAAGGCTTGCTTGTGCTCTTACTCTGGAAAATACCAGAGCGTTGCATCAAAATGTATCAGAATAAGGACTAAGTGCTGGAATTGATCAAATTTGCATAGCACGTTTTGTCGTTGTTTCACGATGAATGATGGTAACGATAAATGATCTAGAATATCGAATTTAAACAGGAAACTCTATTATCATTTAACAGTCAATCTCGTTCATTGTGTCATTATATATCTGTCAATGGCAATGTCAAAAGCCATTGTAATATATCAAAGGATAAATTCAATGGTCCAAATGTTTGGGCAAGATATTGTTGAATGGTCTCAATCATGATTATCGAGCTAGCAATGGAAGTATCCACAGGGCAAGCTGATTCTCATCGTCTCTGGGTATTACGGTTTGTCGGAAAGCTTCACAATCTTCCTTGCCGACTGTGAAAAGCTCCGGGCGGCATTACCGAAAGCTTGCAGAAAGCTCTGTTTCATGGCGCTTTCGTACTTCAGCACAGCGACACGTTACGTTGAGCTTTCGAACTTATTTCGCTTGAAACTGCGGTATCGATCGAGTCTGCGATCCGGCGCGCGCTTCATTATAATTTATTTTCATCGATTAAATTTAATAATTGATTTTTATTCAATTACTCTCCGATTTGATCAATTTCTTCTAATTGATAGTTCAAAATTGATATTCGTGTATAAAACAATATAAAATAATTATATAAAAATACATACATATATTCATATACGAAGACACAAAATTTAAGTAAAAAATATTTATTTATAGAAGAAAAAGTTTTACGATTATGTCAAATGGCAATAAATGTCAAATTGAATGGTCCGAATGAAGAGATCGGTATTGTTAATCTCCATTATCAATGTTGTCCTTGTTAATAGAAGCACGAAATTTGCGAACGTGCTGGTCTTGCATAATAACGGAATATTGCTATGCAAATGAAAGAGGTAGACAATCAATGGATGAATGGTTCGCGTGAGTTCGAGCGAAGAGATGCTTCGCTAGCGTACGATGCGAAGTAACGGATAATTTAATGGCTCGTCTTCGTGGCTTTAGGGAATTCATCCGGTAGCGGAAGCACCTGACTGCGGTCTTATACATCGCAAAACGAAGCGATGCGTATAAGACCGAAGAAAGAGGATGGGAGGGAAGGATGATCGAGGAACGATTCAAGGGTGGGTTGAATTTTCGTAATGTCCAAGAGTGATCGTCATTCGTTACTGACCAGGATGCGGCGCGTCGTCCAATGGTTGAAATTGGAACTTCGCCTTGAAGCCTTGGCCCGGCCAGTTGGAATTAGCGACGAACTCGACGTAGATGTCTGGTCCCGTGCTGAGTACCTCCACTTCCGCTCCTTGGTTGCAGAGCACGGCTATTGTGGGCGCCCCTGAACCCGTTCCGTCGTGCACCCTGATTAAATCCGCCCTATTCAGGCAACTGTAACAGGATGCGCGCTCTTCGTTAGAAGACGGCGACTTATCGGTACATTAACCTCAGGCGAGTGACTACCCGATCTCTCTCTCTCTCTGTTTCGCTCTCTTAATGAGAAATAATATTCACTTTTAACCTAATTGCCACTCTCGCGCTTTTAAGAAACAAGAAATATTTATTGATAAAATCTGCTCTAAATGAATCTTATATACTATCCTCGACGCCTCTTATAAGATTCCCAAGCCCCGGTTTTACATTGTAAAGGTTCACCTCTATAAAGATTCAAATCGGAATGGGATGCGCGAATAAAGGAGAGGGTCTTCGAGATACTCGACAACGAAGATATTCCAAATCCGCTTTGAGTGTACCGCGGCTCGTCTAGATAACGCGCGCCTATAGGAAAAAGGGGACGCGGATGAAAGAGACAAGAGAGATGAGAGGCAGGATGAAGCGAGACAGCTCAACAGGGCCGAAGGTGAAACTGTAAAGAGTGGTGAAGTGACAAAGGAGAAGGAGGAAGAGGGAGAAGAGCGAGAGGCCGAGGAGAAAATCTCGACGACCGCGGGCGATTCGTTTTATGTACGTGTACGCGAACTGGTCTTCGCTCGATCGAACCGAAGAGGAGCATTATATCTTCTCGGTGTCTTCCCTCATACCCCTCCCATCTTTCCGACCTTACGAATCGCGCGCTACATCGACGGGATTCGCCAATCCGATCGATTTAAAGGGCTTGATCGATGACGGCCGACGGGATAACCTTATTACTTGCACGGGTTAAGCAATTACGTTGGCAGAGAAAGATTATCGTCGGAAGAGCCGGAGATTAAAGAGCCGCTTTCCCTCCCCTCCTGTCCCTCCGGTCCGTTTCGACCCCTCGCCTATCGACCTGCACGCGCGACTTCTGACCTCGCCCGCTTAATACGTAACGTTTCTCGTCGATATAACACGGATACGTGATATTTTGTATATATGTATGTATGCACGTACGAATACGCGGGCAGGAAGCGTGAGATTATTTCCCATTCCGACTCATGAATTTCGATCGGTTTATACATACATACACGCACACATTTGCATAGTAAATGCGAGTCAAATTCGTTCGAGACAATCAGATTGAAAGGTTTAGACCCGTGAAATTAACAGTATTCGCGCGAAAATTCGGCGCGCAAGGAAGGTAAGCAAATCCGTTTATCAAAGTTAATCTAGCGTGATGCCGCGCACGCGTTGAGGGTGTATATACGCGGAATTCTTCAAGTGGCCGACAGGATTTACTCGGGCCCATCATCGGCGAACTCCGTCGGGTTTCGCTTCACTTGATTTTATCCGCGTCTACTGTGTCTCATAGTGGCTATTTCATGAATATCGTTGAGAGTAGCGTTTACCTCTACAGAGATTTGAATTCAGGCGTGAAAGCACGTTCAAGTATTTCGAACACGGGCGATGCTGAAAGAAGCCCTTCCTCCTACGCGCTATTCCTCTTTTCCTTTTCCTTTCTCCTCTTTCCCTAAACCCTCGCAAGTTGTCTCGCGTACGTGGTGCGAAGAGATTATTCATACCCATTACCTGCCCATAGGAAGGGATTACCGATACTGTCGATACTATCGATAGTTCCCCGACTGATAACTTTATACGCGTGTGCTATAAGCGTGCACTTTCTCGAATATAATGCGAGATTGTATCGAGTGCTAGATGGAAGAGTCTCTCTCTCTCTCTCTCCCAGTATCCATCAGCACCATTCACGATAATATCCGAGTGCGTCTGACGGAGCGGCTTAACGTTGATATATGGCAGCATTTCTCAGCTCTTACCCGAGCTCTTACAGATTTTTACCAGCAGTCTTCGAAGGAAGTGCCATCGGCCGCGACATAAATTAACGCTATCGATCGCAGATTTGTCGACAGCATTTCCCATATCGCCCTTTCGATTCGGTTGATCTCCCTTTTTTCTCTCATGCTCTTGCGATTTATGCCACGATTATAGCGTTCGGTATCGCATATCTCGTCAAATTCCGCATTTAGATAAAACGGCGCTCTAAAGAAACAGGACAATCCGATTGGAATTTTTTCTACTGAATTATATGTAGAATAAATTATGATAAATTTAGTATATGGAATAAAATATCATTTCCGAGTTTTCTCTACTTATATTATTGCATTATTCCGTGATTTCTCGTGGAAATAAAAATAATTAGCATAGGATGTGTGTGTAATCCTGATAAATTTATTTAAACAAAATAAACGTATTAAAATAATATATAATAATTGATATTTTAAATGCGTTGAATGAACAAATACGCGAGATAATTCTCTTCTAATGTTTGATGTTATGAATGCAAATGCAACATCATCTCCTTCCATCTCTCGTATAAATACGTCAGCATAAAGCTAACGATCAATTTATCCCGCTACATGAATATCGATGGATTCATTGGCGGAAGATATACGTTCGATTAATTTTTACGCGGAGCGTAATATATTATGTAAAAAATAGAAATATTACTCTGCACAAAAATCGATATTGTTTCCGAGATTAAGGAGATTATTGCTTTTATCGCGCATAAACAACGATTCGATGTGCGGCAAATAAACACACCTGAATACGAATAAATTATGTAAAACGAGTCGCGTGAAGTAATATTTGATAGTCACAAATTTTCCCCTAGCCAGTAATGGTCGGTTTTCGTCGTATAGACGGTGAATTGCTCATGAATCACTACGCTATAGCCAGACTCCGATAGGACGTGCGAAACAGAATATAGAGTGAACTTTAAATGAGGTTCGGTGGTATCCGCTATTTTACTCGCAAAATAAAACCCCTATACCATGTGAAATAAAGCTGCTAACTTAAACATTGACATATGTCGGAATATTGTACGTACGTGTATATTGATAAAATATTTAAAAAGAATTCTTAATTTTAATCTCTGATGAGATCGATTAAAGTATCGCCGAACGTGTTGGTAGATAAATGTTATAAAAGCAATGATGTTAAATTTTTCAAATATTTTATCGCGAGCGCACGCAAAAACTTATTACTTCGACAATGATATTTCCTTTCCATTTTCAGCCATGTTCAGACCCCATACTGAGACTTACGTAATAACATAATGCGATTTGAAAATTGCTTATTATTCGTATCTCGTCTCCCGCTACGAAAATTACATTTGCTTGCGCATTATTCTTAGCTAGATGCAAGCGTGTACAATTTTCTCAAATTTCACGCGCGCCGCTTTTTCTCATATATGTTTACAAAGTAATATTATGTATATCTGCAAATGTTACTCGAAAAAAACCGCTTGTAATTTACGATCTCACGATGACTGAATGATAATTCCGGTTGTCGAGATCTCTCGAGTTTGATTTGACATTAATTTCACACACGTTTTTATCGTCATTTTTCTTCAGCGCTTTTCGTTCGTCCGAGATCTCATCGGGTTTGATCCCGGCGTTTGAAGCTAAAAGATCACTGACGGAATGAAATTAAGGGAGCTCAATACTGAATTAGGATGGAGTTCGAGGATTTATCAAGGATTAACTCCTGCACGCTGCAACTGCAAGTACCAGTCCCTAGGCGCCTCTCGTTTCCTCAAGTTGACTTCGCCATCACCATTCTCAGTTCTAAGTCTTTGCGCGCAGAGGAACTTTATGTGGGTTAAGTAGAATCACGGTCCGCGTCCTGTTCAAAGGATTTAGAGGTCAGATGTAACCAGCATACACACTGCGGGATTAAAAAAAAAAAGTATGCTATCGCTGTCAGATCGATAGGTATCGTATTGCAGCCGAGTTAATTACGATAAACGTGCGAAAAATTCACGTGCAAACATTTAAATCCTTAACAAAGACCGACATGAAAAACGCAAGCTTGAGCATGGGAGAAAAATTCGTCGTAAATATATCCCCGGTAAGATATTCGTTGCGCTCGCTAGACGGAATATGAAGTTTACCGAGCTACGAATAAGAAACACAGGAGGGAGAGAGAGAGATCCTGACGTGAGATATGTCCCGAGCAAAATATATGTAGGACTTGTTCGAAAAAATATTCCGCCTTCCGCAGTTCATGCGCAGTCCAGGCATGTCGCGTTTTCGATGGCGCGCTAACCGTGGGAAATCGAAGGGACAGGACAATCTATGGTAGCCAGGTTGAAGAGGATCGGCGGCGGTCGCGGGGCTCTCACTGCTCTCAGTATTACCGTTTGGCAGATTTATGTCAGTAATATCAGAAGCATTAGTCGTTTGACGTATTGGTGATCGTAAAATTTCGAGTCGCGCGCAGAGGGGCTATCTCTCATTCATGAGGATTGATAATACATCAGATTCCGCGTCCCTTTCGATCGATGGCGAGTGTGTGTGTCTGGTGATTTGCATGTTCCATAGTAAAGTACATGGGAGTGCTCGAGGTACCCGCGTACCCTAAGTACCCTTCGCGATCACGTGGAAGACTCTCCAACTCACGAACGCTCCTCTCGCGCTGGAGCGCGTAACGAGATATATCTAACGACCGACGATTATTCTCGGCACGCACGTGGAGCGCTCATGAAACGTAGTAGGAAGTTCAATACGTACGATGGCGTTCGAATTACAGCGAACTCTCGTCCGCGGATCGATTCGTTCGTTTGTTCGCTGATTGCTTAATACCTCGAAAAAAAAAACATTATCGCGTAAACAAATCTGTCACCGTCTTATTCAAATTTTTAATTAATATCTCTGAATGTATAATATATTCTTTTTTTTTTCATCCACAAGAAACATATAATATTTATTTTTTATATGAAATACATAGTTTTTAGACATCACATTATGGTTTTTTTTTTTTGTGAAAACTGACATTTTTATAATTTGAACGATATTGTAAAAAAACTAAAATTTTAAAAGCACTGATAACTATATGGGTTGCAATATGAAAAATATTAACAATGTTTTTATTATAAAAATTATATGATAATTTTTTTGGCATAAACAAGAACTTTGCGGAAATGATATATAAATGATTATTTTTATTCATATGATACAGTATATGCTTTTTTAAATTTTTTAAAAGTTAAAAGTATATTTTCAAAAAAATATATTGTATGTTTTAGCGAAATATCAACATTTTCCCATGAAGTGTCCAAATGTTTCTTGACGTAATAAAAAAGCATATTTACTCTCATGAATATCTAGCAAATTTACTTGTGTGTTTATTTTATAATTGACTTTTTTTTGCATGCAAAATAAAACATCCATGTGTTAGTTTAAAAGATCAAAAAGTTAATCAATTAATATAAAAAATTTATTTTTATATCAGAGCACTTCACTAAATTATTTTATACATTTTTGTAACTTTCAATAAATAATTACAAAACTTATTCGCAAAATGATCTTTACAATAAATATACGTAAATGTTGACGATATGAAACAGGATTAAAAACGAGTTATTCGGAAAAGAGAAAACATTTTTATGTCTCACATTTATCTCAAACGTTGAACAAATCTGTACTTTTCAATTTGCAAAATCGACGTCCATGACGCGTAACGACGCGCAAGGCGACCCTCACTTATCGTTGTCGTTCCAGCCATTCTGTATCTTTTCTGTACTCTACAACACACGGCTGACATTATCTACGTTCCACGATATACTTTCGAAGACTACATGAATCAGGGAAGTTGTAAATGTCTTAAAGAATAAAGGGAAGACATGTTCTTCTCGAGCGATTGCGCGCGCGCGCAAATTCAGATTCTGCATCAATATTCCTCACGTTACCCTTTCCTACCCTTTGCTCCTCGGCAAACAAATCAGTTTTCGTTTGATTAATTTAATGGTTCGTTTGGCTTTACGCCTCTCGCCGAAGAAGAGCGCCGACAAGTCTCTTCATCTTCGCCACTCGAATGTTTTATCTATAGCCGGCCAGGCCGATCGACGCCGATTATCTATTCGCCTCGTCGTCTCTTCTGACCGATAAAATTCTCAGAGCACGGAGTAACTTTTGCGATCGTTTGGAGACTTTATTCTGAAATTAATCCGAGACGGAATGAATTTGATCTTCGGCGACAGATCAGATAGCGCTCGCGCCAAACCGGGTGTTTTCGCAGGTTAATTATAGGCGTCAATTACACGGGATTAGATTTAAGACGTGTAAACGGAGAAAATTAAGACCGGTGGGAAAGGGGAAAGGGAGAGGGGGAGGAAAAGAGATCAAAGACGACTTTATCGCGCGCGTAAATCTCCATTGCGTGCTTAATCCATCTGCCGGTCTTTATTGCCGACTGACTGAGCTGTATAATTGTTTGAGAGATTTGCCCGCGATCGTGTATCGGATGAGAAAGTTTTAAATAGAAAAAGTTTCGCGCCCTCGATTCTCTAACGCTCGTTAGATCTTAAACGTTAATAACAGAATAATAGCGTCGTAATTCACGATTAGCGTAACGGAGCGCCTGCGCACCGAGTCTTTAAAATTTACCACACACTCCGCGAAAGTGGTGCATGCAAAAGCTTCATCGTGAGAAAAGTACCTCGTGATTAAATCGTTAAGAACGCGAACGGAGATGCACAGGTTTTCTCGCTGCTGTAAATAAGTAATAGAAAGGAATAGCATCTCTGCTTCTATAAAACCCACGAGCACTCTCTTTTTCTCTCTTTCTCTTTCCCTCTTTTTGAACTTTATTTCTATAATTGTGCATATTGAGGGATGCAGATATACTTGAAAAAATATACTAAAATATTTAAATTATTTAAATTTTTTTATGAATAATGTAGATAATTCTCTGAACGTTCAAAGTGTTGTATAAAATAATTTTTAAATATATCTATAAGTACTTAAAAAAAAAAAAAAAAAAAAAAAAAAAAAATGATATAGAATGATATCCAATCTTTGAATTTCTTCTGAAAAATTATGCTTTTCAATATTTTGATATACCTTTTCTTGGACACATCATTAATTTGTTCAGAAATAAACTAACTATTTAAGAGTTTGAAGCTTTATCAACAATTACGATTAAAGTTAAAAAAGTTAATTTTCTAAAAATCAATTAAAATTTAGAAAGAGTTTACTGAACAAAAAGTATCGATCGAATATACCCAATATTGTATATTAGATACTTCAAAGGCAAAAACACGTCCGCAGTATTGTCGTGACGAGAAATGTGAACGTATTTTTATCTTCGGGTTCAATTCCGAGGAGATAGAATCGCGACTATCTACTACGCGAAACCAATGAAATTTCTAACCAAGTTGTAAAAACGCGCCCTCGTTTTTGGTAGTAACGGGGTTGAATACTCTCGTAATTTCAAGTTCAATTATTTTTTTTCTAAAACTGCACGGATGTGATATTACACGCGCGTGTAAATGTGTCCAAACGTGTCTTAAAGTTTTAATGGTTCTGCAGTTTTCATTTTGTGTCTCGCTCAAAGTTGTAAGGGATTAGTTCGGCAAGCGCGCAATAAAAGTCGACCAATTCAAAGTGGTCGAATTATCCTGAGTACGTATAGTGGCTCGATATCGACATACTCATATTCTCGCGGTGAAAAAAAAGTATATATAATAATCAATACGAGCACAGAAAAAAAGAGGAATCCTTGATTCAAGTATATTTTTATTCTTGAACGCTATTTGATTGATTTAAGCATAGATTTAAGCTCTTTGTAATCACAAATTTTCATTTGCCTTGATAATAAATAAGTTTGTATAAAGTATATTTTATCTTTAAGATATATTCTTGTTTTAAAAATCGCATATGGTAAAAACAAACTTAGTCACATTTGAACTAAGAATTATTATATATACTTGAAAGTATCGCTTATATATCCGATGCTCACTTGTCACTTGTCCTTGCAATATTTATAAGTAAATTTCAGCTTCAACCAATAATATTTTGCACTTTGTTTTAAGGATAAATTATCCTTTATCCAAAATTATTTATATTTGGCGCTATTATAAGGATAAAATATACTTGAATCATTATTTGCATTCTTTCAAGGATACTATTTTTTCTGTGAGAGCGAATAATACCACAATATTAAGCAAATACTCGAGAAATAGAATTTAATCGTCGAATAAGAATTAAATCGTCCGTGTCAAAGAACCGAGCAGCATCCGAACGTGTCACGGTGTCACCGCATATTCCATTCTATGTATCCGCCTGTCGCGGTTTTTGGGGTCGCGAACTGTTTTTAACTCTCCGCATGCCTGGGAGGGGGACGGTTTCAAAGTTTTAAATCGACAGATCGCGCAAATGCCCTTCTATCAGCCGACGGGGGCTTAATGGTGCGTCGTTTACATGGACGAGGCAGCCTCCCCTTTTCCACCCTTCTTTCGGTCATACTTCGTGGATTCGCGACTTTGATCCCTTCTGCTAAATCTCCCTTCCCCTTTCCCCCACCCTCTCGATTTTTCTCTTTCGCAACTTGTAGAACTCAATTTCTATCCTGAATATGCGAGGGATGTACGGGAAACTTTTTCTCGCGGATGCGTCGAACGTTGCTCTCTCGCAAATCTATCAACTTCGGGGCAAAACGCGCCGGGAGGAGAAATTTGTAAATCATTTATGACGGAACAAAGTTTTTTTAAAATGCGCGACGTCAGGCGAACGATATAATATCTCTAATTCATCGATTTATTCTTCGCTATTATTTTTCGCCTTCGACGATACGTACTGACTTATTCGCTTCGTTTCTGTCATCGTAACACAAAGTTGGAAAATAAAAAATTCAGTTAATACTCACCTCAGATCTCCCTTTTGCAGCGAGATCTCCTCGAAAACCAAACGAATTCTCTCCTTCAACCTGAAACAAAAATCAATCGAGTTATATTTTACATTACAACACCACGCTTGTTCCCGTGGAGGCTATTTTGAACGCGCGATATTAAAACCTGAATTTTTATGAATGCGGAAATATTATTACGCGCATTTTTCGTCCGTGCGGCGGTTTATCCTATTCCCGCCGGTACTAATGAAACAAGATGGACGGGGGTTGTAATTAATTTCGTTATAAGCGCACCTAGCGTATGAATTTGTTAAACCGACGGCGGCAGTAGTGGCGGCTGTGAACAGCGTGGCGGGACCACAAATCTCTCTTTGCGCAAAAAGATTCACAGTCAAACGACAGAGGGAGAAAAAAAAGGAAGGAAGAGAGAGGGAGAAAATATACCCTTGTAAAAGAGGGAACCGCGAAACAACTTACGCTTTACGTAAGAAAATAGAAATAATCGAAATATTGTGTGACACATTCTATTATCTTCCATTCTGTCTTCCCTATTCTATTTTCTTCCTCCTATCCGAGGACGGCTGTCGAGATGGCTCGCTCGCAGCGATCGCTACATGACACAAAGGCGAGACCATCATCAGAGCAGTATAGCGCGTTAATATAGAGCGAGTGTCATGAATACCTGGAGAGCGAATAGACTCTGTGTGATATATATTCGCGTGCACACACATCAGCCGGCTTTATAGCGGCCGGCTATGTTGCGTTGACATAACTGTTAGACATATAGGGGAAGTGAAAACGGAGGAGGGGAAATGAGAAGGGGTGGGAGACTGCGCGCACGCTACTTTGATACAATTACGGCAATTAAGCAGCGACCCACAATACTACGGAAATCACATCCGCGCGTACTAGCCGTGATTAAATTCATCACGATTGAGCGACGTTCTGACTCGACACCGTTAACCATTTCCTTTGATCGCCGTACACGCGGATCAGACATCCACCGTAACCGATGAACCGTACTGAGCGATACGTTGATGTGAGTTATGACGTTTACAGATATAGATATTCTATAATGTAAACTAGAAATTCTACTAGATAAATAGAATCCTATAGTAAATCAATCGAATCAAAAGTAGTGCAAAATATAATTTCCCGGGGGAAATAAAATGTAATTAAATTTTTCATAATTTTTGAGAAAAAAAATAGATTAAAATTTGTTAAAAATTTTAGAGGATTAGCTTCGATGAAAGAGTATACATAAATAGATTCGTATATGTATATACATATATTTAAAACAATAAGTTACTATTATGTATTATTCTATTAATTATTAAAATACTTTTTGAAATCTGTGCCTAAAATATCTACAAGTATTATTTATAATTACTTTAGTGCTTAATTTTTGAAATACCATTTTTTTAATTGTTACTTTAAAGCTTTTTAAAAACAAAAGTAATGTCGATAAAAAATTAATGACAAATATTCAAAAATTGAATATTTTCGTTAATATGTTATATAATTATTAGCATTGCTTTTGTTCTAAAAATAATAATTAGAATTTATTCTATAGTTTATTATTATATAAATGAATAAAATATAATAAATATAATATAAAAATACATAATTTGAAGAAGAAATTTATTTCTAATATTCCTTTTTAATATATTCGACAAATAAATATCAAAATGTCTGTTTATATTTCGTCGGTGAACATTGAGTCGCGTTTTCGCGAGCGTCCAGCAAGTAGTTTCGGCGCATTTTGCGGAGACGGTTAGAAAATAGTAACGCTTCCTGCGAGGGTTCATGCCAAGAACTTGCCACTTTTTTTCTTCAACTCCGCAGTACGCAGCTTTCATAGCGTTGTACTGCGAACCAGCTCGCAACATAACTCTGAGCGACCACGAATGTAACAAGGAGTCGAGAGATGAACGGCGAAAGTTGAGGTCAGGAAGCTGGAAAATTTTGGATGACGCCAGAAGCGTGACGGTACGAACATTCAGTGTCTATCAGTGGTTCGAAACTAGCGAGAAACCCGAGAGAGATTTAATGGTTCAACACGCGAAATTTAAATGTCTCTCTCTCTCTCTCTCTCTCTCGCGCGCGCGCGAAACTTTAGAGAGAAACGCAACGTCGAGATGATCAAACATATCCTCCGATACGTTAGATTGGACGTTAATTAACTGCGAGCGGGATTACGGACTGCCGTCTCGTTAAATGCGCTAAGACAGTAGTAGATATATATGGCGAAGGTGGAGATTAGCCGCAGAGATGCATTATATATGGATTAGGTTCTCCCGTCCTCCCTCTCTCTCTTCCTCCCCATAGAATACAGCGCGCGCGAGTTCACGACTAGGTTGGATTACAGTTACCTTGCCCGGAAGAGGTAAGAGCACCGGATGTTCTTCGGATAAGAGGACGGGTAACGCGGTGAGTAGAATCGTCCGTAATGAGGCGTCGATTGCGAACTGACGAACTCGTGGTCGCACATCGTGCCGGGCACCAGTAGGCCGTCCGTCTCGAATAAACCTGAAACAGAGCAAAAAGGTACTTGTTATCACACATCTCTTTTGCTCTGGAATGATGCGTCAAAAAATCATTCAGACTCTGAAAAAATTTGATGCCGAAGAACATTTCTTTTGGTGTAAAACGAACGAAATATGGGTACTAAAATAACGCGGTATAATAATAATTTTATTATCTTTTTATGAAATTTTGATAAAAAGAGAGTAATCCTATTTTACGAGCGATTCTCACGCTTTCAATTAGTTATAATTTCTCAATGAAAATTTTTATCCTCTCGATTCCAGCAAAATCCTCCTAGTCGATGTCGTTACGAGCAACCTTTCTTTCGCCACTTTGAAAAACCTACCGATGAATATCAGGGCACGGAATCCTATTTGAGACCTGTCTCTCTCGCGGAAACAGGAATCGAAATGAAATAAAATTAACGATCGCCAGCGCGTCCTTAGAGCGTGCAAATATACCCTATACAGAACTCGTTACGTATTGATTAACTAGTCGCACGTTCCATACTCTCCATTTAAAGGTGTCGCCACGGTAGACTGATTCCGCTTGTATCGCTTACTTACGACTAACGAAAACCTATATAACGGCACGGTGCGCGTACACCGGATGAAAAGTTAATCTTAATTTCTTTTAATTAATTAGTTTCTGCAGAGAATGGTCGCGCGAAATGAAACCGAACAGCGTGTACGTACGATACAAACAGTGTATACGGTATATTTTTTTCCGATGTATAATGGCGATCCCCCCAAGTACGGAATTTTATACGGGATCTCGAATGCGCGGATTAGCGACTCGATAAATGACATCGATAGGGGAATTTAGTGCCGACCGATTTTGTTGAAAGCACGACCGGAATTATCGCTCGAAGTGCGTATAAAGGACTCTTGTGCCGTTTTTAAATTCCACGATTTCTACGGGATACGTACGGGCAATTACATCGCTGGTTCGTGCGATTCCCAGAATGCCCGGGATCGTTCTTTTGTGCTTGAAACAAAGGCAAGAGGAAAAAGCGGCAGTTTCCGGAAGATCCAAAAAAAGAACGGACAAGGGAATAAGAGAAGGGGGAGGCCACCGACTGCGACCCTCTCTGTCCCTCTGCTCTTTCACTCTTTCTTTCTCTTTCTTTCGTTGATGAAGAGATTCCACGAGAAAACGTTGAGTTTCAGGACGAATTAATCGTTAACACGCCCATTGGCAAAGTCCCATTGTAAGTAATGCGAATAGTAGTTGAGAAGAGAGAGTAAAAGAGGAGTAGAGAGGTCTAGTGCATTGTACTCGATCAATTATCTTAATAAAGGAGTTTCTATTAGGCCTCATGTTACTTTAAATACATAATCAGATTACGAAATAACGATTTATCAACTTCTCGAATATATGCCACCGATATATTGAAAATCCGATACGAGTGCGAGATGATGAATACAGCGACATAATAATAAAATAATCGTAAAAGTTTGAAAATATAGCGTACACGTCTCTTCTCTTCTATATAGCCTCTTCATTTTATAATATTAATAAAACGATTGTATTTATATAAATAGAACCATTTCTCATTTTAAAATAAAATGAATACAAAAAATATTTTTTAATACTCATAAAATACAAATTCAGAAAATATAATGGTTTAAATTAAGCAATATTATAATAATCTAGAAAATGTAGAAAAATGGAATATTTTTTTTAATATCGTGTGAAATTTTTATTATCTACGTTTAAGGGATTCTATCTTTTGATTCACATTACAGACGTGTAATTAATCAGAATGATTTTCCGAGAGAGCATAGTTTTTATCGTCCTATTGTTTCGCCATTTGAAAAGCGCAGAAAAGACAGACTTATGATAAGAGCTATTGAGCATCTTCATCTAACATGCGACATTAATGAGTTCATTTTGCGAACGTATAAAGAGATGTATATATACATATATGCCTGTGTCATGTTTGCTAAGAGTGATTCTGAATTCTCGGCAAGGTTCTTTCAAGTTCCAGCTCGCGGAGAATATTATTTCTGCTTCTCTCGTGCGCTTCAAACTTTAATACGAGAAAGCGTATCGAGAGATGTTTGAAGGAATTAGAAAAAAAAATTAAACCGCAACACTGAATGATGCACACTCCACTCGATTCATATCACGCTGATGCTGATATAGCCTCGTTAATGTCAGTCTTCTCAAAACAACCGATAAGAGAGAAATAAAGATGAGTAGTTTGCTTTTTTCGCGCGTGAAAAAGTGGCGCGTTTTTTTTTCTTTTCGCGGTAAATTGGAACCTTTGATTAATTTCGTTCAGTCCTTAAATACGCTTTTCCCGTCTGCGCGCTCTCGCCTTCCTTCCTCTCTACTCCGAGTCTTGACGAACTATTCGAACTTTAATGTCAGTGTGTTCTATGATAGAGCTGTGTGGTCGATTTTATACACACATACATTCATGCATACAGCAACCTATCTTTCGCGACAGAAAAGGAGGGCCTGTACGTGTGCCGGACGTCTGATACCGTCTTGTTATCTGACGTCACGTTGCGGTCTGCAAGATAAGTAAGGTTTCCGCGGAAAATAAAGATCTGGAAAAAGGGAGCTAAGTTCTTTCCATCCTTCAGAAAATCTGAGACAGAGAAAATTGATAAAACACACCGTCGCGCTGTCGACATTGTATTAATTTCATTGTCTTTCATTTTCTCGAGATTTTCTCTCCAATCTACGGCGAAGCTTTCTTTGGACCGAAATCGCGACGCGCGCGATATATATATATGTTCCTCACGTGAAATTGCACTGCTTGATGATGTCGCGCACGGCGCGGTGTCACGTGGCAGATTGCAAGAACGTTTCCGTTCTGTTGCTACTAGAAAACCGAGCGTTAGATGCAAGAAGAGCGAGACATCGTTCTCGAGATGAATGGATACCTATGCTCTTAACGTCAAATAATTCCGTTTCCGATAGCATTCGCAAAACCGAAGATGTATTACGTTACAAGAAATATAACGCGCAGAATTACATTTTTACTAGATTTTTACATAATAATATCTTACATAAATATATCAAACATTCTATTTCAAGATATTTCTTTTCAACAAATCTTTTATCAATATTCATAGTGTTCGCGTTATTTGTCGCGTAACGTTAATCTGTTGAAGGAAGAGTGAGAAATTTGTCATCTACCACACGTGGTTGAAATTAACGACGTGATTTTCCGATGCACTGTATGCTTAATGCTCGCTGTAAATCTCCCGACACACAGATTTATTTCAAATTTTTGCGTTATCGGGAAAAGAGCTGCGCATATGTTTGAATTATGAAATAGCTCCATTGGGAATCCAGTTCCAATTACGAGTCTAGCGGCGAATCAAAACTTTCTCTCTCTCCCTCCATCCCTCTCTCTCTCTCTCTCTCTCTCTCTCTCTCTCTCGCACGTCATGTTGATTCTGAAATTATGATCACAAATATTCAAAATACTTTCATATTTAATTTTTTAACATCTTTTTCTATCGTTACATTTTTCATTTTATTATGCAGATTCACGTGTTTTTTATCGTATCAGGAGATACTGGTGTCGGTATATTTTCGTTTAATTGTGTAAACAGTTACGGGATTATTCTGTTCTTATATTTTTCGAACGTCATCATATAATGGAAATCGTGCTTTTCGAATAATGTCATTAACATCGAAACGTTTTCTCTTAATGAAATGAAATTTGCAAATCAGCGAATTAGTAAAATTGACGTGTCGATATAACAGCATCGTCAATTTTTAATTTCCATATAGCGCGCTTTTATGTTCCGAGTATGCACATATCCGGGTTTCCGTGGATGAGACGACGTACCCGGACGGATCTTATCTGAATATTTTACAGAGCGAAGGTGACGGGCGTAACCCAGTGTCGAAGCATAAAATTCCGCGTCACATCCTCGGACATTCGCAAATAGAGAACGGAAGACGTAGATGGAAATAAAAAAGAGAAGAAAGAGAAACGTATTCCCGGTGACGTTGTTACGTCTTGACGCGTCGTTTGGGAGTTAAGAAACTTCTCTCTTGAATCGCTAGAGCTTGACATGGAATAGTTCCTCGGGTCGGAAATTCAAAAAAATTATGAAGCTTTGGAAACACATAGCGAACGCCTTGATAAATAATTCGCTATTTTTGTTCACTGTCCACATTCGCTTTAAGAGAATGAAATATTCACGTAAATTGGACAGTTTTTCCTTTTTATTATTTCTGGACAAAAGAAAATATAAATTTTATACAGAAAAGTTAATCTTGTTAGTCTTCTATATTGCTCATGATTATTTAAACACTCACGTATTATTTAAAGATTTAATAAATCAAAATCGCTAAGTCTTGTTGAAAGAAAAAACAATTATTTTAAAAATTCTTTTATATCTCTTAAAACTTTTGCAAATAATAGAATAAAAATCACGAATAAGTCAATTTTAGGAATTTATTTTAGTCTCTGTGAATAAATTCAAAACAGTAAAAATTAATGTATAATATTTACAAAGACTTTTTACATATTTTCAGTTTTGTAACATTTTTAATTTCCGGTTTGAAATTTTATGGAAGAATTGTATTCTGAAACTTCCAATTTCGATCAACAGATTGCATCGCTCGCTATGATCGCGCGACATTTTGCATAATCATGTTTATTTCAACAATGCAATCTCGACGATACATGTATTATTGCAAAAAATTGACTTATATATAGGTACATGTATTTTTTACGATATATTTATCTCCTATGAATTAATTTCAGAAATTATATAACAGTGATCAATCATCTAAATTACATAATTGTATTTAATATTTCAATAGAAAATTATGTATAAGGAGGTCTGGCAACAATTGCGGAGTTTAACCTTTGACAGAAGTTGAATGAAGTTAGGGCTTGCTACTTTAAAAGGCTTATTCATCAATGAGGGATTGTAAGAGAGAGTATGAAGAAAGAAAAAGAAAAACAGAGAAAGGAAGACTTGAAGTGGTATTCTATTGACGGTCGAATATAAAGGGAATCAATA